CAATACACTTACATACAGTGTCACGCGTAAAACACATGACATTTTGAACCGTGCCTTTTTTATTAAAATTTCAAATGTATTTAGAATTAAAGTATAATAAACTCCACATAGTCACCCAGTTTCAACAATTACAGATTCATGGCCAATCCTCTTTCTTCTTTACCATACTAACTATCCATCACCCCCTATTCTGACCTACTTAGCTGGGCTGAGGGTGAGGCAAGCAAGGTACTTAGGCACAATTTAAGGAGGCACTCACTTTTCAAAGCTTGTATTTGTACATGTGATTGTGATTCCTACAATTATGCTAAATCCTTAGGCTTGCCTTATCTGAGATCTGGTCCTGCTGGCTCCCCTGAGTTATTTTGAAGTAAATCTCAAGCACATTATACCTTCCTTTTTTTCCATCATGTATATTGGATATCATTTCATATCGTGGCACAGAGAACTTTAATCTTAATAACAGTTGCGTAGAATTACACCCTATGAAGATGCAGTAATTTATAGTAGTCCCTATTGATAGACATTTAGGTTGCTTCCCATCTGGGTATTTTAAACAATGTTGTGATGATTACATTATACCACACATGTAAGTTTGTATGGAGGATAAGTACCTAGAAATAGAGCTTAATAATTTACAGTAGCACTATTTTTTCATCATTGCCAAACTAATAAGGGAAATAGCACTTCAGTGTAGTTTGGTTTGCTTTTCTCTTTCTTTTCTTTTATGACAGACATTCTGACTGTAACCTTTCTCTTATGAGTGAAGCTGGGCATCTTTTCATGTTTAAAGAACTTTCCTATTTCCTTTGCTACAAACTGATTGCTCACATCCATTGCCAATTTTAATTTTGGGTTTTTTTTGTTTGTTTGTTTGTTTTTTGTTTTTGAGATGGAGTCTCGCTCTGTCACCCGGGCTGGAGTGCAGTGGTGCGATCTCCACTCACTGCAACCTCCGCCTCCTGGGTTCAAGCAATTCTCCTGCCTCAGCCTCCTGAGTAGCTGGGATTACAGGTGCCCGCCACTATGCCCAGTTAATTTTTGTATTTTTAGTAGAGATGGGGTTTCGCCATGTTGGCCAGGCTGGTCTTGAACTCCTGACCTCAGGTAATCCGCTGGTCTCAGCCTCCCAAAGTGCTGGGATTACAAGAGTGAGCTACAGTGCCCGGCCCAGGCGTGGCTTTTAAAAGTGCTGGTAGAGCGGCCGGGTGCGGTAGTTCACACCTGTAATCCCAGCACTTTGGGAGGCCAAGGCGGGTGGATCAAGAGGTCAGGCGATCAAGACCATCCTGGCCAACATGGTGAAACCCCGTCTCTACTAAAAATACAAAAATCAGCTAGACGTGGTGGTGCGTACCTGTAATCCCAACTACGGGAGGCTGAGACAGGAGAATCGCTTGAAGCCAGGAATCGGAGGTTGCAGCGAGCCAAGATTGCACCACTGCACTCCACCCTGGCGACAGAGTGAGACTCCATCTCAAAAAAAAAAAAAGAAAAAAAAGTGCTGGTAGCTTCGGCCTTGGTTTTCTAGACCCCTAATCCCCCATATAAGAAAGCATACTACCCTTCTAGAGAAACCATGTGGTGAGAGCTGAGACTACATAGAGATAGGGACCCAGCTAAGGCCAGTTTTCCAAAGATACACACCAAAGCCACAGATGTGTCTTGTGGAGCAGAAGAATCACCCAGCTGAGAACCTGCCCAAATTCCTGACCAATGAAGTCATGAATTATAACAAAATGGTGGTTGTTTTAAGCTACTAAGTTTTGGAATATTTCTTACACATCATTAAAGAACCAGAATAGCATTCTTTTTCAGGAACTCTACATATTAGTAAAATTAGTCATTTTTCAGATGTAATGCAAACATATTTTTCCCAGATGTTTTGGCTTTGTTTTCACTTTTTAGTCACGCAAAATTTTATTTTTATGTACTTGCATTTATCATTCCTTTTTTCCCCAAAAATCAGCTAGAGCATACAATTGAGGAAAAGATACAATTTTTAAGAACAAGAGAGATGAAATATCTAAGGTTGAACTTAAGAAATCACAAGGTCTATATGAAGAAAACCAAAAACTTTTGAAAGATTCAAAGGAAAGTTTGAACAAATAAGAAGACATCATCTACTTGGATTTAAAAAAGTAATCCTGGCCGGGTTCAGCTAACACGTGTAATCCTAGCACTTTGGGAGGCCGAGGCAAGATCACTTGAGGCCGGGAGTTCAAGACCAGCCTGGCCAACATGGCAGAACCCCGTCTCTACTAAAAATACAAAAAATTAGCCAGGTGTGGTGGTGCATACCTGTGGTCCGAGCTATTCCAGAGACTGAGGTGGGAGGATCGCTTGAGCCCTGGTGGGGAAGTTGCAGTGAGCCGAGATTGCACCACTGCATGTCAGCCTGTGCCACATCAGAAGATCCTGTCTAAAAAAAACGGGGGGGAGGGTAGTGGGGAAAAATAAACATGCTGTCTTGAAGTCAGACAACGTGACACTCTATTGGGTTTGGATGGGGGAATATTTTTTAAAGACTGGGTCTCACTATGTTGCCCAGGCTGGACTGTAGTGGCTATTTATAGGTGCCATTACAGCTCACTGCACTCTTGAACTCCTAGGCTCAAGCAGTCCTACTACCTCAGCCTCCCCTAGTACTTGGGAATACAGGCCATGCCACCAAACCCAGCTAGGCAATCTTTTTTTTTTTTCTTTTTGACAGGGCCTGGCTCTGTTGCTCAGGCTGGAGTGCAGTGGCATGATCTCTGCTCACTGCAACCTCTGCCTCCTGGGTTCAAGAGATTCTCCTACGTCAGCCTCCAGAGTAGCTGGGATTACAAGCACGCACCATCAGGCTTGGCTAATTTTAAAATGTTTTTGTAGAGCCAAGGTCTGATTATGTTGCTCAGGCTGGTGTTGAACTCCTGGGCTCAAACAAGCCTCCTGCCTCTGCCTCTCAAAATGCTGGGATTACAGGCATGAGCTAGCGCACCCGGCTGAAAATTTTTTTTTTTTTTTGAGGTGGAGTCTCACTCTGTCACCCAGGCTGGAGTGCAGTGGCGCGATCTTGGCTCACTGCAACCTCAGCCTCCCAGATTCAAGCAATTCTCCTGCCTCAGCCTCCTGAGTAGATGGGACTACAGGTGCCTGCCACTATGCCCGGCTAATTTTTGTATTTTTAGTAGAGATGGGGTTTCACCATATTGGCCAGACTGGTCTCGAACTCCTGACCTTGTGATCCACCCACCTCAGCCTCCCAAAGTGCTGGGATTTACAGGCATGAGCCACTGTGCCCAGCCCCGGCTGAAATTTTTTAAAGGAAATAGTTATCCCAAGCATTTGCTAGCTTTGTGTAGTTTATTTATTCTTATTTATTTTTTTGAGACAGAGTCTCGCTCTGTCGCCAAGGCTGGAGTGCAGTGGCATGATCTCGGCTCACTGCAACCTCTGCCTCCCGGCGATTTGCAGACAGCGATTCTCCTGTCTCAGTCTCCCACAGTAGCTGGGATTACAGGCGTGTGCTACCATGCATGGCTAATTTTTGTATTTTTAGTAGAGACAAGGTTTCACCATGTTGCCCAGGCTGGTCTCGAACTCCCGACCTCAGATGACCCACCTGCCTCGGCCTCCCAAAATGCTGGGATTACATGCATGAGCCTGGCCACTTCGTGTAGTTTAAAAATCACTTTCAATTCAAACCCTTTCTGAGGTTGTCATTACTATTATCCCCACTAAACAGAAGCCCTCAGAAAAGCTAATTTTGATTCTGCCATTTGCCCTAATCCGTGTTCCCTTAAGGCAAGTCCTTTCAAAAGTCTAAACTTCAGTTTCCTCTTCTATAACATGTGTATGCCAATTAAACGAACTCTCTGCCAGGCCACAAGCCATGACACAATGGAAAGGTAGTTGGGCTTTGGGGTCAGGCACAACTACGAATTCCAGCTCCTCCACTTAGTAGCTGTGTTATCCAGGGAAGGGCATGTTCTGACACTGGCTGACGCCTGTGTGCACACATAGACAATTCTTTCATTGAATCTTCAACCCCCTGAGTAAAGTTAATCTTTAATCTCCGTTTTGAAAACTAAGCCAAGACACGGTTAGGCTGAGTAATTTATCCTTTGTCACCCAACTCTAAAAGAGCTGGATTTGCGCCCGGCATGTAGATTTCAGCGTCTTCATGGTAGATCGCCACCCTCAGTTGCCACCTGAACAGTAAACTCGCTCCACGAAGTGGCTGAGCTGAATCCGTAACTGGAGCGAACCAGCCGTCTGGCTTTGGAATGCAGACCGCCCCTGGCCGACTGCCAGAGGCGGGAGGCCTGAAGTTTGGGCTTCTTGCCGCCCTACCCTGTCCACCACAACGCTGTTATCAAGCCTAAACTTTTAGGAAAGGCACGAAATTAACTCACTTTACACACAGAGATACACAGTGGGACGATTTTGGCTTTTTAAGCTAACTCAGAAAATGGAGATACGGGCTGGGCGCAGTGTCTCACGCCTGTAATCCCAGCACTTTGGGAGGCCGAGGCGGGCGAATCTTGAGGTCAGGAGATCGAGACCATACTGGCCAACATGGTGAAACCCCGTCTCTACCAACAATACAAAAAATTAGTAGGACGTGGTGGCACGCGCCTGTAGTCCCAGCTACTCGGGAGGCTGAGGCAGGAGAATCGCTTGAACCCGGGAGGCGGAGGTTGCAGTGAGCTGAGATCGCGCCACTGCACTCTAGCCTGGGCGAGAGAGCGAGACTTCGCCTCAAAAAAAAAAAAAAGAAAAGAAAAGAAATTGGAGACATGGCAACCGAAGGCACCTCCTCCCGCCTGCCTCCAGGTGGCGCTATAGGACCGGTCCACCTTCCACAGCGCAGACGCCTCAGTTTGGCCTCCCTCGGAGGCCATGCAGCGGAGAAACATGACTTCGTGGCTAGAGGGGCATTTCCTAGGAGACGCCCATGTCGCCGCGTAACCTTCACATACTTCCGCTTCCGGTTCTTTATTCCGGAAATTGCTCTCAGAGGCAGCGTGAGGTTGTGCTCTTTGTGAAATTTCACCATGGCGTACCGTGGCCAGGGCCAGAAAGTGCAGAAGGTTATGGTGCAGCCCATCGTATCCTACGCAGGATGTCAGGACTGGGAGGTTCGGGCCAGAATACGGGGTGCGAAGGCGCAGACTGAGAGCAGGCCTGGGGTAGCGGAGTACGAATCCACATCCCATGAGCCCCCGGGGCGACCAAGACTGGAAGAAAGCGCGGGTAGTTGAAGAACCGTGATGGTGGGGAGGTGGTCTTGGGTGGACCCCTGCCGTGGGGGAATGCAGGAATGGAGGCGGTGAAAGGAGGGAAGAGAACTTTAGGTGCGGAGTGAAAACGGGAGTTAAAGGTTTCGGGAAACTCCAGGGGAATGAAAGTAGAAGGGATGTTCTTTAATCTTTAGAAGACCCCTAATGAATGCCCAGCTGGGCACTTTTTGTTTGCGTAAGCACCAGACCTCGCGTTCAGTATACCAAGGTGAGACGGGAACAGGGTCGTCCAGTTGTTTCAGGAAGCAGTCTATGCTGCTTTTGTATTTTTTCCTTAGCCACTGTGGTGCAGAACCTCATCTTCAGATACTTACAAAATGTACGTAAGTTGCTTGTTTCATAACTATTTTTTAAATAAGAGATGAACTGATTTAGTTTTTTGTGTTAACCTGAGTGATCGCTGTGTTCTAGAATTTAAAAATAGATGTAACTGGAGATTGAAGGGTAATCGAGGGGAAGGAGTACTGAGAAAGCACTAATGTGGTGAAGTGGTGTGTATCCATGCCACTTCCCAACATGCAAAGAATTGTATTATTACTTTGCAAGATCAAAAATACTTTTTAATTCCAAAAAGTATTATCAGCAGACTTGAGCATGGTATTTGGGCATCAGTAGTTTTGTTAGTAGTGATTATGCCTAGAACGTTGGAACCTCTCCCCTTTAAGATGAAACACATTGGAAGAAAAAACCAACTTAAACCATGTCAAGAGGTGGTGTGTTTAATATCTGTTGGAAAACTTAAAGACGGAAAAAGAAAGAAGGGGTAGCTTCAGAGGAATTTGGTGGCAGCTGCTTTCCTTTGGGGGGAACTTTAGCAACTTAAATTTTATAGTGTGACAACACAACTGAAAAACATTAATTTCAGGTGATAATAATTTTTAACCACCTGAATTGAGGGCTCCTGTCCTGGTTGTTAGGTGTGTGACATGAGAAAGCTTTGTTTTGGAACTGGATTTTGCTGCAAGATATAAGCCCTTGGTCATTAGAAATTGCTGCTTTGTGCTATGCTGTCAAAAACTTTCACTCTTAAATAGATTGAAACCAGAAGCAGTAAGAAATGTTGAGTCCCAAGATCACAGGAAAATTATTAGGTTATATAGTTCCAATATAGAACTTATTAAATGAAAATTCTCTTTGAGATTATTATTACTGGTGAATAATTCTTAGATATGGGCTAATTAGTTAAAACTCTTGACTTACATTCATTACAGTTTTTTTTAGGAGCCATATTTCTCTTGTCGTTTGACCAAAATGGTTAGGTTTTGTGTACTTCAATTTTGGGAGGGGGGCGGGGGAGGGGGCAAGATCTTGCTTAATGTTGCACAGGCTAATCTTGAACACCTGGCCACAAAGCGAATTATTCTGCTTTGGCATCCCAAAGTACTGGAATTACAGGTGTGAATCGAGGCAGCTGGCCTGTTTTTCTTTTTCTTTTTTTTCTTTTCTTTTCTTTTTTTTTTAAGACGGAGTCTCACTCTGTCGCCCAGGCTGGAGTGTAGTGGCTCGATCTCGGCTCACTGCAGTTTCCGCCTCCCGGGGTCAAGTGATTCCCCTGCTTCAGCCTCCTGATAACTGGTACTACAGGCGTGTGCTACCACGCCCAGCTAATTTTTTTTGTATTTTTAGTAGAGATGGGGCTTCACCATGTTAGCCAGGATGCTCTCTATCTCTTGACCTTGTGATTCACCTGCCTGGGCCTCCCCAAGTGCTGGGATTACAGGCATGAGTCGCTGCGCCCGGCCCCATTTTTCTTTTTTTAACGTTTCCACTTTTATGATTATTTCAGAGATCGCGGATTCAGGTGTGGCTCTATGAGCAAGTGAATATGCGGATAGAAGGCTGTATCATTGTGAGTATCCAGGCAATTTTATCTCATAGCAGTTTGGTCATAGAAAAAGATTTCTCAGAAAGTGGCTAGCCAGAACAGTGTATAAAAAGTGAAAGATCCAACCTAAGCAAAGTTTTTTGGGGGCCGCTATTTAGCCTTTTTTCATTGTTGATAGGTAAGGATTGGGTAATTTTTAATAGACAGGGAAAATTAACTTTTAATTCATTTTCTTTCCTCTGTCTGTGTTGAGAAGAAAATTTGTATTTTATTTTTGAGAAAGGGCCTTGTTCTGTTGCTTAGGCTGGAGTGCAGTGGCACAGTCATGGCTCATTGTGGCCTCAACCTCCTGGGCTCAAGCAGTCCTCCTGCCTCAGCCTTCCAAGTAGCTAGGACCAAAAGTGTGCACCATCACAGCCTGCTAAATTTTTATTTTTTATAGAGACGAGGTCTCACATTGTTGTCCAGGCTGATCTCCTGGGCTCAGGTGATTCTCCCACCTCAGGCTCTCAAAGTCTTGGGATTACAGGCATGAGCCACGATGCCTGGCTGAAAATTAACTTTTAAAAATTATTTGAAAAAAAATATTTGAGCAACGATGTTAGTATGGAGAGAGGGGACAAAAGAAAGGAAATTAGGAAGGGTGGGGACTAATGGAATTGTTTGTTGTGGGTTAGGTGATACCTGAATAGAGCTCAGTGGGGTTAAATAGGGATAGCAGGCTACCCTAAGTAATTTTTTTTTTTAAGTTGGGATCTTGCGTTGTCACCCAGGTGCTGTCAGAGCTCACTACAATCTTGAACTCCTTGGCTCAAGTGATTCTTCCACCTCAGCCTCTAGTAGCTGGGACTATAGGCATGCACCACCATGTCCAGCTAATTTTTAAATATTTTGCTGGGCACAGTGGCTCATGTCTGTAATCCTAGCACTTTGGGAGGCCGAGCATGATGAATCACTTTAGCTCCGGAGTTCGAGACCAGCCTGGGCAACATGATGAAACCCTGTTTCTACCAGAAATACAGAAAGTAGCCAGGCACGGTGGTGCGCCCTGTAGTCCCAGTTACTTGGTGGGGCTGAGGCAGCAGAATTGCTTGAACCCAGGAGGTCGAGCTGCAGTGAGCCGAGGTCACACCACTGCATTCTAGCCTGGGAGACAAAGTGAGATCCTTTCTCAAAAAAAAGAAAAAAGACTTTGGGTGGAAGGTGGAGTGCGGGGCTTGAGATGAGTGAATCTTTGAAGTTAGTTGGATTTTGTATCTGCATAGGTATACACATTTAAAATGGGTTGGATGTGATTTTCTTTGACGATGACAGTTTGTTTATTTTTCTAGGGTTTTGATGAATATATGAACCTTGTATTAGATGATGCAGAAGAGATTCATTCTAAAACAAAGTCAAGAAAACAACTGGGTAAGGATATAAGGGGTCTTACAGAATCGTAGAAATGTTTTGTTCACTTGCAGAATTCAGTGACCTGCAACTCAGTTCATGTTTGATTTTACTTTGCATTTGAGAAGTTATTATTCAGAGTAGTAGTACACTTTTGAAATTATTCTCTACCACTCACTTCTCACCACACTCCATTTTGGCTTCTCTGCCCAGAGAGCTCTCACCAAGGGAACCAAAGACTAGTGGTGTTAAATCTAATGATCAGTACTAATCCTCATTTTAATTAAACTCTCAACAGCATTTGGCACCATTGGCCACTCCCTCCTTAAAGCGCTTTGTTCCCTTGTCTGAGTGGGGGGGAAAACCCAAGTAGATCTTTCTATTTCCTCAGTTGACAATAATTAACACAGAAGACTTCTGTGACCAGATGTGTGGGCGTATTTCCCCACACACCAAGCAAGCAGTCAGTTCGGCAGTGGACGTCAGCTTGGAGTCGTCAAGTTCAGTTCAGTTCTAACACTATCTACCTGGAGATAGTGTCAGTTCCCAGAGGTTGAGGGCTCAATCCCCAAGATTGCCTTCCCTGCCCCTCGATGCTCCACCAGATGCCAATTGTCAGCTCCAGATTGTTTTACCTGTCCTTCTTACTGACTGGCTGTAAACTGGGTCCCATAACCCCTCCTTTGGTTTAATTAATTTGCTAGAGCAGCTCACAGAACTCAGGGAAACACTTATATTTACTGGTTTATTATAAAGGATATTACAAAGAATACAGATGAAGAGATGCACAGGGCAAGGCATATAGGAAGGGATGCGAAGCTTTTGTGCCCTCTACAAGCTTACTGCTCTCTGGGAACCTCCATGTGTTGAGCTGTCAGAAACCCATTGTTTTCAGTTTTTATGTAAGCTTCATTATGTAGGCCTGACTGAATAAATTGGCTATTGGTGATCAGCTTAACCTTCTGCTCCTCTTCTCCCTGGGTTGGAGGGTGGGGCTGAAAGTCTGACCTCACTAATGCCTTGGTCCTTTCAGTGAGCAGCTCCAATGCTGAAACTTTGCAGGGGCTGCTGGTGGTCAGTCAATCATTAGCATACAAAAAGGCAACACCTTAGAGATTCTGAGGATTTTAGGAGTTGTATGGGATTGAAGACCAAATAAATATTTTGCAGTATCACACCTTGGCTCTACGATATTATACTTGGGTTTTAATTTTTCATTTCTGGCTATTTTTCAGACTTGTATGTTCATTCTTTGGGACCCAGTCACTAAATGAGTTGCTCCAGGCTTGGTTCTAGGCCCTCCTGTCATTCAGTATTGTCTGCCTAGGCACTGGAGTACAGCTTCAATTACCATCTATGTATATTGACTCCCAAATTTGGGACTCCCAAGTCTGGGCCTATTCACCATTTCTACTTGAATGTTTCAAAGGCTTCTTAAAGTCAGCATATCAGAAAGCAAACTCAATTCCAACTCACACTGTTTAGAGCTATTGTATTATTATTTCCCGCCTTATTGAATGGCACCAGTTTCCAATTCAGCTTACTAATTGATTTCTCTGCAGCTACCTCCAGTTTGCTTTCCAGGCCTCAGTCATCTTTTAAAAACACCAACCTGAACATGTCATCCCTTTGCTTGAAATTCTTCAGTGACTTCCTGTTGCTCTTAGGATAAAAAAAATCTAATGATTCTGCAAATCTAATGATCTTTATGATCTAGTCTTATCTCCCTCTGCTCATCTCATATCACTGTGCCTTACTTTCTGAGCTTTAGCAACACTTGTCTTATTTCAGTTCTTTGAGTCTGTGCATTTGCCCAACCATTAATCTTTGTATATGATATTCCTTGTGTCTTTAGAGCTCAGATCAAATATCAGTTCTCTTAAGACAGTGGTCCTCAACCATTTTGGCACCAGAGACCAGTTTTGTGGAAGACAGTTTTTCTATGGACCGGATTGTGGGGGATGGTTTTCGGATGATTCAAGCACATTACATTTATGGTGCACTTTATTTCTATTATTATTACATTGTAATATTTAATAAAATAATGATACAACTCACCATCATGCATAATCAGTGTGAGCCCTGAGCTTATTTTCCCACAACTAGACAGTCCCATCTGGGGGTGATGGGAGACAGTGACAGATCATCAGGCATTAGGTTCTCATAAGGAGTGCGCAACCTAGATCCCTCTATGCCCTGTTCACAATAGGTTTCATGCTCCTATGAGAATCTAAGGCCTCCGCTGATCTGACAGGAGGCAGAGCCCAGGCAGGAATACTAGTGATGTGGAGTGGCTGTAAATACAGATGAAGCTCTGCCACCTTGCCCACTGCTCACTTGCTGTGTGACCTGGTTTCTAACAGGGACCAGGACTGGTACTGGTCTGTGGCCCAGGGGTTAGGAAGCCCTGTTCTAAAAAGTTCAGAGTTTAATTTGATTTTGCTGGGGATGGGGGAGGCGGGGTTATGTGCTCCCTGAGTTTGTAGTAAAACATTTATTATTGAAATTATTTTATTAACGTCTCTCCTGTTATGAGATGCTTCACCATAAGTGCATGAATCATGCCTTTTTTGATCCCTAGTGTGCTCAGTACCTAACTCAATGCCTGGCGCATAATAGAAACTAAAAAATACTTGAATAATGAATGGTATTTCTTTCTTTTGTTTTTGGAGACGGAGTCTCACTCTGTTGCCCAGGCTGGAATGTAATGACGCGATCTTGGCTCACTGCAACCTCCGCCTCCTGGGTTTAAGCAATTCTGCTGCCTCAGACTCCCGAGTAGCTGGGACTACAGGCGTGCACCACTGCGCCTGGCTGATTTTTTGTGTTTTAGTAGAGATGGGGTTTCACTGTGTTGCCCAGGCTGGTCTTTAACTTCTGAGCTCAGGCAGTCCACCTGCCTTGGCCTCCCAAATGCTGGGATTACATGTGTGAGCCACTAAGCCTGGCAATGAACGGTATTTCTTAACCCAGTTAATGAATGGTCTTAGTATTCACGGTTTCAAGACACACTGAATCATTTCTATTAACATCCCATTCACTTGAGGTTTATTTAGGCATTTTGTCTTCATTTGTTAAATGCTCACTAATACTTTTATCAGTGGTGGGTTTCAGGTGTCTCTCAGACTCTCAGGATTCTCATGAACCTATACTAGATATGTGGAAAGTAGATTCTGAGAAGCAGTATGGTGTTTCGCTAGCTTCTTCCTGCTTACACTATTATGAAAACCTGGGTTTTTTAGATTGATTTATTTATTTTTTTGGAGACGGAGTCTTGCTTTGTCTCCCAGGCTTGAGTGCCATGGCACAATCTCGGCTCACTACAACCTCCACCTCATGGGTTCAAGTGATTCTCCTGCCTCAGCCTCCTAAGTAACTGGGATTACAGGTGCATGCCGCCACACTTGGCTGATTTTTTATATTTTAGTAGAAGACGGGGTTTCACCGTGTTGTCCAGGCTGGTCTCAAACTCCTAAGCTCAGGCATTCCGCCCACCTTGGCCTCCCAAAGTGCTGGGATTATAGGCATGAGCCACCATACCCAGCTGGATTTTTCAGATTTTAAGATGTCTTGCCAGGAAGGGCAGGCTTAGCCTCACCGAGGTCATATTATTTATAAATTATTTACCAACTGTTGAATTCTCATGGTAGTATTCATCCTGTAGAATAGAATATTATTAATACCTGCAGAAGCCTGGGAAAGTAGAACAGTTTAATTACTGTTGGAGTTGATCAACATGTCTCAAACTGTTCTGCCAGTGAACACCAGTGTTCCTGAAGATGTTTATAGATTTCTTAGAAAAGTATCGTCTTAAATAACCTTAGGAAAGTTTGGGTAAAACTTAAACAGGTTTGTTTATTGTAGGGTGGAGTTTTGGTTTTTTTTTTTTTTGAGACAGAGTTTTGCTCTTGTTGCCCAGGCTGGCGTGCAATGGTGCGATCTCGGCTCACTGCAACCACCGCCTCCCAGGTTCAAGCGATTCTCCTGCCTCAGCCTCGCAAGTAGCTGGGATTACAGGCACACGGCACCACGCCCAACTAATTTTGTATTTTTAGTAGAGATAGGGTGGAGTCTTTAATATACTAACAGCTTTAAGAATGGAGTTATAATATGCTATATTTCCCAAACTTGACATACGACTCATTTCCAAACTTTTACAAACTCAGCATTGGGAAATGTTGTATGAGGCCTATTGAGTTGACTTAGTTCATAGAAATGATGCTTGTCATGAAATACCATCTACCTTTGTTAGTTTGTAGAAAAGGTAAATGTATTCTAATGGAGCCAGAAAGCATTTCACTATATGGACACTTGAAAATGTTTACGTGTTTTTATAAGAAAGCATTTTCAAAATGTTCAAAAACTGGATACAAAATTCTGAGAGTAAAACATCTGAGTGTGTGGCTATTAATAGCCTTTTGTTGTTTTTGTGTTGCAGGTCGGATCATGCTGAAAGGAGATAATATTACTCTGCTACAAAGTGTCTCCAACTAGAAATGATCAATGAAGTGAGAAATTGTTGAGAAGAATACAGTTTGTTTTTAGATGTCCTTTGTCTAATATGAACATTTATTCATATTGTTTTGATTACCCTTGTGTTATACAAGATGGCAATAAATGCTGTGGGATTGTTTGTATTTAAAAATTTACATTGCTTCTTCCTATTCATCAGTAGAGACTTTTTACACACTAACACCGTTCGTTGTTGGTATTTACTTTAGTTTTCTGAAGGGTGGCAGTTGCCTTGAGCACTTGGTATTCGCAGAGCTTGGACCTGTAGATTTTGAGGCAGATTAGGAATTCTGCCTGACAGGTAAGCTTCCAGTATTGGGAGGTGGAGAAGGGGAGGGTTCACAAAAATAAATTGGGGTTATTGCACTAATAAATGTCTTCATCACTTCTGGTTCTGGATGCTGGAATACCAGAGTTTCTAACCTAAATAGGTTGGGTACGTTATTTAATTGGGTCAGTATTGCTCAACACTGTAACTGAGTCACTGTGAGGTCTTTGTGAATTTTATCACTAAGATCAGAATGTGAGAAGTATTTGGGTATAGGCAAAGAATGAAGTGCCTTTCAAGTACTTTAAAAATGAGTTAAGAGTTTACAGGAAAGAGACTGAGATTGGTAATCTGAAAAGGACCACAAGCACAGCTGGTAGGTAAATTGTTAGGCAGAATAATGGTATAAAGAGAAACACACCTGTCTCTTATTCTTATCTCTTAAGAATTTTGGTTCTTCCCCCAGTGATTTCTGGTTGAATTCTTATGTGGGCAGGTTTCCCTTCCCCCAATATTGCACATGGTTCTAGTTAGAATTCTGTTAGATAGATAGTGAGCATATGCTGTTAGCTAGACACAGTGTTGAATCAGTACAGTGAAACAGACTGGTAAACAGGTAGTTTTAATGCCTCATCCTAAGTACTATTTAAATTGGATCTTGAAAGGTGAATAAGGCCTGCCTTAAGTTCTGCTAAAGGCAATGCTGTTATTAAGGATGGATGAGGAAGGACCAAGAAGTCTGGCTCCTACTTTTCTACATGCCTGTGAAGGAGACTGTAGTTTCAGTTCATGAAACTGAATAAAAGAAATCCTTTCTGAGATAAAGGAGATTTGTAGGTGAATGCAGAAGTGTATACAGCTTTGAACCGTGCATTCCATCTATATTCCTCCTGTCTGAACTCATGCTCTTTCGATTATATTTTGAAATAAAGGGCTGCATTAGTTCTTTTAACGTTTGAGTTTGAAATTATTTAAACTGATCACAACATGCAAAGAAAACATTGGGCAGCAGAGGGAGTTACAGCCCTGAGACTGCTTCAGCCCTGCTGGTGAAAAGATTGAGTTGAAGCTTTTTCAGAGCAGAGCAAAGACCTCCCTGCAGCCTTCTTGGCACCAGAATAGCTGGGAAGAAGGATAAAAGCCCAGAGGAGTATAATCTCTAAGAAAACCTGCTGGCTGCCTTTTCCATTTCCCTGTGTGGCCTTTCTGACCTGGCTGCCCTGTGGAAGCAGAGCTGTGCCTGCTGTGGCTTATTCTGAATGGATCAAGACATGGAAGGTTCTATTTTTGACAGAGCAAATGATGATAGTGAGAATTAAGGTACAGCGAACTCTTACAATTGAGGTCTGTATTTAGAAATCCCAGCTTGCTTTCCTGCTCTACTGGAGCCTGTGGTGTTTGCTTTTTAAGTTGTACTTTTCCACCATCTCTAGATCGTTTCTTCCAACCAGAATTTACGGGAGGCGTTGCTCTCTGCCTCATTAAGGTTACTAAAACATCCTGCTGGGAAGCTGCTCTTGTTGGCAGCCCTGGGTTATGTCAACTTTTCTAGAACGGCTGTTGGTTGCTGAGGGGGTCGTGATAGACACCCCTAACCCTCATAGCATTCTTGAAGTGGGGGTGGGAGGAATAGAGAATCAGGCTCTGAAAGAAAAGTGCTGATGTGGGCCTGGTGGTCAATTAGTAGCAGGTAGGGAGAAGGAAAAGTTTGAAAATAATAGGATGTTGTGCTTTGGGGTACCAACTCTTGTCATATCACACTTGTCAACAGTTTCAGGATTAGAGAGTGTACCTCTAGTTTGGATTAAGGCATTATGGGCCGGAAAGTGTCATGGTGGGGTAAGTAAGCCTAGTAGCATCTCAGGTTAACTGGGTAACACAGGCATTTTCCTTAACTATCTACTGATGCATGCTTTTGTGAGGAAATGCTTGTTTGAACTTTATTGTTGAGACAGAGTCTTGCTCTGTTGCCCAGGCTGGAGTGCAGTGCCACAATCATAGTTGACTGTGGTCTTGACCTCCTGGGCTCAAGCGATTCTCCCACTTCAGCCCCCTGAGTAGCTGGGACCACAGGCATACACCACCAAGCCTGGCAATTTTTTTTTTAAATGGCAGAGGTAGTTAAGGCTTTATTTTGGGAAAAAAAAAAATTGTTTTATAGCTGGAGTCATGGGCCAGGGGGGTACCCCAGGCAATAAACTCCATGACTGGGTTGAGGGCTAGGACTGAGCCTCACTTAGGCGAGGCTATGTTCACTCCTGTTTCCTATGCTCCCTTGCACAGTGGCCTCTTCCACTGGCTCTGGGGCATCCACAGGAAGGGATGGGCTGGGAGGGGCTGCCATGGCCATTTACTTGGACAGGACATCAGAGGACTCGGACACCAGCTTCCCATCTTGCATCTCTATTTTCTTCACAACCACAGCACTGGAGGAACCCTGGAGAAGCTGGTGCGGCTAGAGGAGCTAGAGCCCCTGCCAGAGTCAAAGCTGGAACCTAGCCATAGCTGAGGCCAGGGCTTGTGAGGCCCCATGGGCCAAGCTCAGTGTACCTGAGTAGCCACTGGTGGTCTTTATATATATACTTATGTTCTACATCCCAGACTCCAGCCTGCTCTTGTTGCCCTCCAGCAGCTTCATGTAGGTGGCAGCCTCTGTGTCCAGGGCCAGCTTGACATTCCTCAGCTCCTGGTACGCCAGCTTGGGGGGTGGTGTCTTTAAAAAAAAAAAAAAAATTTAGTTTTAAATATTTATTTTTTTGAGACTGGGTTATAAGACTAGTTAATTTTTGTATTTTTGGTAGAGAGGGGACTTCGCTATGTTGCCCAGGCTGGTCTGAAACTCCTGGCCTCAATCAGTCTATCTGCCTTGGCCTCCCAAAGTACTGGGATTAACAGATGTGAGCCACTGCACCCAGCTGCATTGCTGTCCTTAATGGAGGCTCCCCATGATGCTTGGCATTCATGATGGCAGCCTCCAGGGAAGTCTTCTGGCCTTTGAGGCTTTCAGTCTCAGCCTGGAGCTGGCTGATATTCTGGTTCATCTCCAAGATTTTCGTCTTTGTGCGACACATCATCCTCCTGCTTCCCAGCCAGTGTCTGCAGTTCCTCGTACTTGATCTGGTATATGTTTTCAGCCTCCGCCCAACTGCGGTTGGCAATCTTGTACTGGTCCTTGACCTCAGTGATGATGCTGTCTGTGTCCATGGAGTGGCTGTTGTCCATAGACAGAACCACAGATGTGTCCAAGATCTGGGACTGCAGCTCCTGGATCTCCTCTTCATACAGCTGCCTGATGAAGTTGATCTCATCAGTCAGCCCTTCCATGCAAGACTCCAGCTCTGCATTGTTCATGTAAGCTTTATCCATAAACTTCTTGAAGACAAATTCATTGTCCATCTCTGTACACTTACTGATCTCATCCTCATGCTTATTCTTGAAGTCCTCCAGCAGCCCCTCCATGTTGCCAAGCTCTGCCTCCAGCTTCAGCTGCTCCTGGCCTAGAATGTACAGCTGCTGCTGAAGGTTGTTGATACAGCTCTCGAGCATGTTGTCCGTGTTGCTCCACGCTGTGTTCTGCTGCTGCTGCTGGAGACTACACTTGCTCTCCAGCATCTTGTTCTGCTGCTCCAGGAGCTGTATCGTGTCAGTGATGGAGGCAGACTTACTGATAAGGGTCTTGATCTGCTCTTTCTCCTGGGTACACATGGCCTGGGTGTTGGGTTACACCTCCAGCTTGAGGGGGCTCAGCAGGCTCTGGTTCACCATGATGGCTGTGATGCTCCCCATTACCACTGGCCCCACTATAGCCTCCACTCAGACCCGGGCCGGCACCCAGACCACCCCAGAAGCACTGCTGCTACCCACTCGGGAGAGCCTTGAGGAGCTAATGCGGGCACTGGGCCTACTCATGTAGAAGCAGCTGCTGAAGACCCAGGGACCAGAGACGGATACCTTGTAGGACTTCTGGGTCACCCTGGTGAACATGGTAGGGGCAAGAGTGGAGGCAGATGGTCCAAACCAGGCAGAGATTTGAGAGGGAATAGAGAAGCTACATCTAGTCTAATTTTTAATTTTTTTTTTGCCCAGGCTAGTCTCCAACTCCTGAGGTCAAGCAATCCTGCTTCGGCCTCCCAAAGTTCTGGGATTACAGGTGTGAGCCACTGCACTCGGCAAAACTTTATTTTTAAGGTAGCTTGAGGACTTATGTCTGTTAGTACCTGGAGATTAACTTAAAAGTTATATCCAATGAAAGTTATATCCAATGGAATTATTAAAAATTTAAAAATGTTAGTACATTTTTATGATCAAAATCCAAACAGTATAGAAATAGAAATAGAAAAAAAGTTGCTCCTTTTCCTACTAGTGTTCTCCTAGATGACCACTGTTAAGAGTTAGATGCTTATTCTTCTAAACTTCATGCTAATAGATATAGATTGTTTTGTTTATCATTTTAGTATTTTATTCCTTTTTAAAAAATTGTTTTTAGGTTGAGTGCAGTGGCTTACACCTGTAATCCCAGCACTTTGGGAGGCTGAGGCAGGAGGACCACATGAGCTTAGGAGTTCGAGACCAGCCTGGGCAACATGGTGAGACCTCATTTCTTTTTTCTTTTTTTTTTTTGAGACCGAGTTTCGCTCTTGTTGCCCAGGCTGGAGTGCAATGGCATGATCTCGGCTTACCACAGCCTCCGCCTCCAAGGTTGAAGCAATTCTCCTGCCTCAGCCTCCCAAGTAACTGGGATTACAGGCATGTGCCACCATGCCTGGCTAAATTTTTTTGTAATTTTAGTAGAGACGGGGTTTCTCCATGTTGGTCAGGCTGGTCTCGAACTCCCGACCTCAGGTGATCCACCACTTCAGCCTC